TGCAGTCAGTTGATTAATATCAGATATTTTAATGTATTATAATGTCGACCTCAGAATCAGACTAGTAAAAACATTTAGTGTGTGATTATGTAAATCATTATATTGTCTTAGTTTACAAAAGTCTGAATTATGCTTTGTGATTTATTAGCCTTTCTCTTTGTGACATCATGTTTTATGTATATTTTAAATTTGTAATGTTAATATGCTGTTCGTCATTGTCACTGTCCCTAAGATTTATGCATTTTATTGCTTTTTGTATAGTAGGACATTGACATTAAAATTAATTAATAAAGGTTAAGCTCTATTGCCTTAAGCCTTAAGCCCCGTTCACACCAAGAGCGATAACTATAAAGACAACGATATTAGCATCCACACCAGCGAACGATATCGTCTGTTTATTCTAAGCACACGTGCGTCTGCCGCTTTAAATTCTTGAGCTCGTTACAACAGGATGGATTCTGATTGGCTGTCAGTGTTTTATCATTCATCAGCTGGAGAAAAATCGTTTTGAAAGTGATTCCAACGATATCGTTCTTCTGTATCGTTATCATTAAAGATTAAAGTTGTGGTGTTAACTTCTTTAATATTGAGAACTATTTTTAGAACTATATCTTTATCGTTATCTTTATAGTTATCGTGCTTGGTGTGAACGGGCCTTTAGACCTCTCTGTAGCTACCATCTGAAACCCTAGAGACCAATTTCAACACCTGAGCAACAGCCTAACAACCAATAAGAACGCTGTAACAACAACAACCTGGCTATCATCTAAAATCCTTGAAAGCAATTTGAACACCTAAGCAACACCCTAGCAACCAGTCAGAATGTTGTAGAAACAATGTAGGTAACATCTGAATCCCTAGAAACCACTTTGAATATCTAAGCAACAATTTAGCAACCACTCAGAACTTCCATAGCAACATTTTAACTACCATTTGAAACCCGAGAAACCACCTTAAAGAAACCAATTAGACCACCTAAGCAACACCCTAGCAACCACTCAGAAAACTGTAACAACATCCTAGCTACCATCTGAAACTGTAGAAACAATTGTGACCAACTAAGCAACAACCTAGCAACCACTCTGAACACCTTAGCAACCACTTAAAAAATCAATCACTTAGCAACATCTATCTTAAACTCTAGAATTCACCCTGAACACCTTACCAACCACTCAAGTTTCAGTTTCCACATCAGTAGAACAGACAAAAACACAAAATTACACTATCAAAACCCTAAGAAAAGCCAGAATAACAACATAAATGGTACTTTTCAAATAAAAACATTTTAGTCTTCATGCCAGGATGATGTTGTAAAAATATAAATATACAATACAGCACACAGTGAAAATGTTAATGTGAATCACTCTGTGTGAATACTGTTTTTGTCAAAATTTTAGTCTTATCAGTCTTAACACATTACATTTCTCACGACATAAACGGAGGCAACAGGAGGAATACGGTTGCTTTCCAAAAGACCTGTCCTGGAGCAGATGAAACATTTACATTTAGTAATTTAGCAGACGCTTTATGTACAAAGTAGAAGCAATCAGACCAATGAGAGAGCAACAATATACAAAATATAAGTGCTATGACAAGTCTCAGTTAGTATAGTACAGTGCACATAGCAAGGTTTTTTTTTTATTAGACTGAATAGAATAGAATAGGTAAGTGCTAGTATTAATTGGTCAGGTGATGATGGTGAAAAAGATTTAGTCTTTAAAAAGTCTTTAGATGTTTTTTGAAAATGGCTAGACTCAGCTGCTCGGATTGAGATAGGCAGGTTGTTCCACCAGCTGGGGACAGTCCAGGAAAAGGTCCGTGAGAGTGATTTTGTGCCTCTTTGGGATGGCACCACGAGGCATCGTTCACTTGCAGAACGCAAGCTTCTGGAGGGTGTGTAGGTCTGAACTAGCGAGTTTAGGTATATTGTTGCAGCGCCAGTGGTTGTCTTGTAGGCAAGCATCAGTACCTTGTATTTGATGCAAGCGGCTATTGGCATTCTGGATCAGTTGCAGAGGCTTGATAGTACATGCAGGAAGGCCCGCCAAGAGAGCATTACAATAGTCCAGTCTGGAGAGAACAAGAGCTTGTACAAGGAGTTGTGTGGTCTGCTCTGTTAGGAAGGGTCTAATCTTCCTAATGTTGTATAAGGCAAACCTGCAGGACCGGGCCATTGTAGCAATATGGTCTGTGAACTTAACTGATCATTCATCACAACTCCAAGGTTCATGGCTGTCCTGAAAGGAGTTATGGTTGACAAACCTAGCTGTATAGAGAGGTTGTGATGAAGTGCTGGGTTGGAGACCACGAGCAGTTCTGTCTTAGCAATGTTGAGTTGAAGGTGATGAACTTTCATCCAGCCAGAAATGTCTGTCAGTCAGGCTGCAAAGTGAACAGCTACTGTCGGATCATCTGGTTGGAATGAGAAGTAGAGTTGAGTGTCATCAGCATAGCAATGATAGGAAAAGCTGTGCTTCTGAATGACAGATCCTAAAGATGACATGTAGATGGAGAAGAGAAGTGGTCCAAGCACTGAGCCTTGAGGAACCCCAGTAGCAAGAAGTTGTGACTTAGAAACCTCACCCCTCCAAGACACCCTGAAGGACCTACCAGAGAGGTAAGACTTGAACCACTGGAGTGCGGTTCCTGAGATGCCCATCTTCATGAGGGTGGACAGGAGGATCTGGTGGTTAACTGTGTCAAAAGCAGCAGACAGATCCAGCAAGATGAGTACTGAGGATTGGGAAGCTGCTCTTGACAGTCTCAGGGATTCAGTAACTAAGAGCAGTGCAGTCTCAGTTGAGTGGCTGCTTTTAAAGCCAGATTGGTTGCTGTCCATGAGGTTGTTCTGTGCAAGAAACATAGAGAGTTGGTTGAACACAACTCGCTCAAGTGTCTTTGCATTGAACGGAAGAAGGGATACCAGTCTGTAGTTTTCTAAAAGTGCTGGATTTAGAGAGGGTTTTTTAAGCAGTGGGGTTACCCGAGCCTGCTTGAACGCTGTGGGAAATGTACCAGAGTGAAGAGAGGTGTTGTTAATGTGAGCACGGGTATAACTGAAGAAGAAATGACCTGAAGGAGGTGAGTGGGGATAGGATCAAGCGGACAGGTAGTAGGATGATTGGAAAGGATAAGTTTAGAAACATCTGCCTCCGAGAGTGGAGAGAAGGAGGAGAGAGAATGAGTATTTGTGGTTATGAAGTTTTTGACAGTTTGTGGTGTGGAAAATTGGTCGCTGATGGTTCTTGTTTTATTTATGAAGAATATTGCATAGTCATCAGCAGTATGAGTTGATGAAGGAGGGGGTGGAGGAGGACAAAGAAGAGAAGAAAAGGTTTTGAAAAGCGTGCGAGAGTCAGAACAGTTGTTAATTTTGTTGTGGTAGTATGTCGTTTTAGCAGTGGAGACATTTGCAGAGAAGGAAGAGATCAGAACAGTTGTTAATTTTGTTGTGGTAGTATGTTGTTTTAGCAGTGGAGGCACTTGCAGAGAAGGAGGAGAGGAGTGACTGATATACACTAAGGTCAGTAGAGCTTTTTGATTTGCGCCACTTCCTCTCGGCAGCACTGAGTCTAGAGTGATGTTCCCGGAGCACATCAGACAGCCAGGGGGCAGAGAAGGTGGTGCGTGCTGGTCTGGATGAAAGGGGGCAAAAGTTGTCTAAGCAAGATGTTAGAGTGGAGCAAAGAATGTTTGTGTCCAATGCTGAAAACTGAGAGGGTGGAGGAAGCGAGGATGAAACCATAGAGGATAGGTGAGTGGAAGAGAGCGAACGTAGGTTACGCCGAAAGGTGACCTGCGGAGGAGTGTGCGTTGTGTCCGGAGCTAGTGTGAGGTTAGAAGTGATGAGGAAGTGGTCTGAGGTGTGCAACGGTGTAACTAAAGTGTTGTCCGTTGAGCAGTAGCGTGTGTAGATAAGGTCCAATTGGTTACCTGATTTGTGAGTAGCTGTAGTAGACACGCGCTTGAGGTCAAATGAGGCAAGCAGTGTGTTGAAGTCAGTAGCCTGTGGTTTATCTAGGTGGATGTTGAAGTCACTGAGTAGTACCAGAGGAGTACCGTCCTCAGGGAAGTTTGAGAGTAACACATCCAGCTCATTTAAGAAGTCACCCAGTTGACCTGGGGGACGATAAATAACTACAAAATGGATTTTAAATGGGTGGGTAATAGTAATTGTGTGTGATACAAATGAACAGTTGCCAGTAAGTGATGGTAGACTATCAAATTAACATTCTTTGGAAATAAGTAGACCCATCCCTCCACCCTTCCCAATCGGGTGTGGGGTGTGGGAAAAAGTGAAATTAGTGGAGAGGGCTGCAGGAGTGGCATTGTCCTCAGGTTTGATCCAAGTCTCAGTTAGGGCCATGAGGTTGAGACTTGAATGAGTAGCAATAGATGACGAAGTCTGCTTAGTTTACAGCAGACTGGCAGTTCCAGTTCCTCTCTCTGGTAGGTAAATACATTGAAGCGGAAAGGAAATTCCCATTAGCAATGAATGGCTTTAAGCTAATGTCTTAATGAAGGAGAAAAACTGGAATTACTACATTGAACAAAGACTTACCTCAACTCTGCTAACTGTTATTCTCACTTACATGTTCAGTGATGTAGAAGTAACCAAGTAATCGGCAAAATGTAAGGTAAGTAAGGTATAGTTCATCCCAAAAATGACCATAATGCCATTTTTACTTGTCTTCATGTAGTTGCAAACCTGTATGACTTTATTTCTTTGGAACACAAAATAATAGTTTTTGATAATGATAGTAAATGGGATAGAAAAAGCTTTGGACCCCATTGACTTTTATCTTAATGGACAAAAATAAATAAATAAAATAAAAATATCTTATTTTGTGTTCCACTGCAGAAAGAATACATTAAATGCAAGCAGAAAATTTAAATGAAAAGAATTGCAAATTGAGATGAATAACTGATACAGACACATTGACCGTTTATTTACAAAGCAATTTAATATAAAGTAATTAAATATATATTTGTAAAAAATAATTTCATGTTGACGTGGGACATTGGTAATCTATGTATAAAATAATTGCTCTACCTGATTAAATATAAAACTAAAGATTACAGTTAATAATTATTGTAACCAATATCGTTTCCATTCATTTTTAATATTTCTTAAAAAAAAAAAAAATTCTAGAAAAGGGGGTTTCATTGTACAACCCGGTTTTCCCCGTGTTTACATCGCATGACCAGATACATACTATGCCTTTTATCTTAGAAACTCACCTTATTATCATTATTAGACACTTGCAATTACAGAATAAATTAATAAAGGGTGACAAATAAATGCATAGTGCATAAACAGGGCATTTCATCCATGACATCTGCAAATAAAATCTTTTGCATGATGCAGCATCCATGCTAATAGGTCCAAGTCATATCAGAGACAGAAATAAAATTACTTGGTGCTCCATTTTGAAACGTACGCAGATAATCTATGCAAAACTAACCGAATACCAGCTCTTCTCCTGACTTTTTCTATTTGTAGCGTTATTATGGGCATTTAAAATGACCCAATTCTTAAAAAATGTAAAAATGTATTTTATTACAGTGCAAGATAACAAGAGTGCAAGTATTAAAAACAACACAATGCATGATGTACATGCATTAAATAATATAATTTAGGTCTATAAAAAGCTTTTTGGTTAAATTCTAAAAATACAGCAAAATACACTTGAAAAAGTGTCACTTTTTTAAAATGAAAACACTAATGTACTCCATTGAGGAAATGTAATGTTTGACTTCAAGCTGATCGTTTCTCCACACCCTGTTTAATGCCTAGCACCAAGTGTAGGAACCAGTTGAACTGCACCGTCCAACCCTTGTCCCGGCAGATCTCGATTTGGTCCAAGAAGTGTTGTTTGGCCTCGTCCTCCGAGCGTCCGACCGTCAGAGCTTCCCGTATGTACTCGATGTCCTCCTTGCTGGTCAGCTGAGGCATGCCGGTCATCAGCATCATGGAGAACAGGATGATCAGCAGGTTGGTGTGGTGTCTCAGAGCCAGGTAGGCCTTCAGGCAAATGCTCTGCGATTATGAGGGAGATTACGTTTAGTCACAGCAGAGGAGTCTGTTGCTAACAGGTGATATTGTATGAACGTACCTGAAACTGGAGGAAATGAGTGCTGCTTTTTTTGCCCGTTGTGCTCATCACATAGAGAAAATCAGGAGTCAGCACAAAAGGAACTCGCTCCTTGCTGATCCCCATGAAACTCTTGTAGTTTCCAAGTATGTGACCGAAATCAATGTGGAATAGGTTACCTAGTTGAAAACACATGCATTTTGTTATTGTTCCTTGAACTGGTTAACTAATGAAACATTCAGGTTTCAATACAAGTTGAGCTCAAACATCAGCATTTGCAGCATAATTTTAATTCGCATAAAAAATATTTTTTATATAAAGCAGATATCAAGAGTGCACAATGCAAACGAATGGGGCCAATTTTTGGAGGTTGTAAAATTTTTAGCTTATATAAAAGCACTTACACAATTCTTCTGTTAAAACTTGTGTATGATTTGAGCTGTAAAGCGGTTTAAAATCTGCATTTTTACAGTCGTTTTGTGGTTTTAGAGTTTATGGCGTTAAAAGTTGTAAAACTGGTTATAACTTTACACAGGAAAAAGTCAATAAATTATTTTTTTCACACCAAAATCATAACATGTCTTGTCTTGTGTCTATATTATATATCTTATTAATTAT